CCTAGACCTTAACACTGGCACTCGGTCAATGGTTTCTCGTGGGGTTTTCTTTTCATTTCGTTTGGTCGAGAAAATGCAAACGTCACTAGCTTCGAGTTCACTTCCTAACCAAAATGTTAAAATAAACACAAAAAGCAACGCGGTATTTTTATCGCTTAGAGAACGGAGAGAGGACCACGCACATGGCGGTTGTTCGGGGTCCGTTTTTGTTGGGTTGTAAGGGAATTTTGGTTTATCCCGGTTTTAGGATCTTAGTGATAACGTTATTTACTTTTCGAATCTGGCGGCAGGAGCCTTTGGGTCACCTTCGGGTGTTATCCTTATCGTTATTGGGACTCGACCACGAGAGTTTCGTCCGATTCGGAACGGCGGACGAGAGTTTGGTCCGATTCGGAAACGGTGAAATGCGCGAATGAATTTACTTGCCGACAGCTCTGCTGCCTGAACCGCCCGTTGTCGTTGTGTTAGTGTGCCGCGACGTACTTTCGCACCAGTGTGTGTGGGAGCTCGCGAGAGCGGGAGAGAAGCAGAGTCTCGAACGTATTTTGTCGACTAGTGATGGCAGCGTGAGTCTAACGCTCATTACAAGGAAGAAAAAATTTAATTGCAGGATCGTACGATTCGTTTTAGAAAACTTGTTGCTTTACTTTTATCAAAAATGGTTAGAAACACAGGTAAAAACGAATAGATTAGATTATGGAAGAACAGTTTTATCCATTTTTAAGACCAACAAAAACACATTTATTAGGGCTTCCCATAAGACACTGATTCTAGGATAATTAAACACTTGGCTTGTTTTTTAACATAATTTTTTAATAGGCTGTTTAAAAGACGGGTTTTGATCAGTTGAACTTTTTTATTCGAAAAACAATTCTGGTATTATGTTATTATTTCTTTTACCATCTTTAGTATCCCTCCAATGATTTTTGCCAGGTATTTTTCACGAGTTCATCCCTAAACCAGATCCAGAATGCAGAAAGACGAAGAAGATCCCAAAACAAAAACTGTATTAGACGAGAAGCAACAGGAAAAAAACATAGAGGGAATCCGAACAGAAATGCCTTAAGACGTGATAGCAGACACACAATCAGTGCGAAGAGAGAGGGGAGAGATAAACGGAGGAGGAGGAGAAACCCGCCGTCGCCATGTGCAGCCCGAGAAAACAAATGCGAGCTAGTGAGTTACCACAAAACAAAAACAAAAACAAAAATAGAAACAACGAGCATTAGACCGTACAAACGACAACTGTTGGCAAATCCAGACCAGGCTTGACAACCTGCCTTACAGCCGCACTAATTAGCCTGGCGACACCTGACTATAATAACGGCACACCTGTTGCAGGTCAGGAAGTTACCAGTGATTGAAAATCCTCTAAAATGGTGCCTAAATTATTATTTCTAGTTACCAATACACACAATGTACCATTCAGAAATAGGGAAAATCATATTCATTTAATGTATAGTACTTTGTCAATTATAAAAAATATACCTATAGTACCTATGTATGTGTATAACAAATTAAGATTAAGTAATTGTACAATTCACATTAAAGGGAAACCTTTTAGATTAAAAGTATTTCCGAAAAAACGCATCTTCTATACTAATTTGTTAATGTATGATTTCATAATTTATGGCCCATGTTATCTGGTTAATTGCAGTGCAACTTTCTCGATGAGGAGGGACATAAAATCACTGGGTGAAAGTCGGCAACAGGTCCAGAATCCACTGGAAAGACTTAACAAGTCGATTTCAATCTCAACCTGAAACTTGTTTGCACTTAAAAATTTCAGTTCGCTTACATCAAGTACAAAAGATATGAATGTGACAAGTGGTTGCCACTATCATCGATTGCTGGAAGCTTGAGGCTTATAGCTTTTCCTGTACATTCGATGCGAACATGTTCTATCATCTGCATTTGGCATGCTCCACAAGCTGATAAAAATTAAGGGAGACCGGGTAAGATAGTGGGGCACAGTTTATTAAAATACTTTTAGTTTTCTGTATTACCGAAGGTGGTGAAATTAATTCAGTACTCAGGAACCTAAACATTAAATTTTAATACATGTTGTCAAACCCTATTTATATCTTGCGATAACACTTAGAAAAAAACTAAACAACGTCGTAAAAATATAAATTGTGAAATATATAGAAATGAAGTCAGTAAGTCATATGTATTTGAATGAGAAGAAAATTAAATAAATCTATACATAAGCCAAATAATTGTTGTTAAGCTAAAAAGATTACAATTGATAAGTAAATATGAATAGTACAATAGTACAATGAAAAGTGTTCGACTTTATTTTTCACTGTCTACTGACCAACACGAAGCCGAGCGTCAGTTTGTAAAAATCAATACGCGTACAAATTTCAAAGTCGAATACAAAATGACCATAAATTTTTGATTAGATCGACCCAATTGAGAACAAGGACGATTCGGTTAGTAACATGACATTAATGTATTGAGTATAAAAGAATGCAGACAGAAACTGCCAGAAGAAATCTCCTGTGAAAACATTCTTACTTATTGAATTTCACCAGGAAGGAGCTAATTGTATCAAAAGCAAGTGCCACTGTTGCACACGGATTATTTTCTTTGATCTTACAGAATAAGCAAGAAAAGGTCCATAACATTCGCATGAATCACAAATTGTCGGCGGTTTTTTCATTGCAAATGCCTCAAGTGAGATCATTTAATTACGTTGAATGATACGAAGTGTAATTTATTTGAACACAGACGGAAGGCAATAATGAAATGCAGTGGCAATAATTATTCATAATGAAGTTAATTCAAAAAGCATTTGCTAGCCACATATGTACATATAATAAACCAACTAAAATGTGTGCCCACAAACTTAAAATCTTAAATCTCTAAAAATGGTTTTCAAATAAGCTTTGTTTCCTTTAATGACTTACTTTATATAAATAGTTCTTACATACCCCACACTACCTAATATTTAAACAGTTGATCATTAATTTTATTTGCCTATTTGCAATTAACTTACAAAAGGACCAAGTTGGTTACCTCGTAAGCCATTAAAATTCTCCACCGCCTGCTATAATTAAAGAACAATGTGAAGTATTCAAGAACTAAAGTTGTTTCCAATTCAATTTAATTTCTTTTTAGTCGGGAAGCACTTTTCCCATATTGGGTCATTAATTACTTGTCCATTTATATGATACATGAATCGTGCAAGTTTAAGTTGAAGTCTAAAGAGATCTGTAGAAGGGCTCTCACTTAGGAAACCCCTCTGTGTTTAAAGCAAAACCAGTTTGATAGCGGTCAATAAATTTTGTTTCAAGATTTTTGAACTTGTTTTTTGTTGCCAAAACCAAACAAACCGAAAATCAAGGCTCGGATTGCGTTGACCCACATTTAATCACTTTGAAGTATAATCAAATAAATAAAGACAATGCACGATATAATTTTCATAAAGAATCGAGATGACAAAGTTAATTTTTGTTTTTCACATTAGGTAACGCAGTAAATTTATTCCGATTCAAAGTTCAGCCAAATTTTGCGCGTACTGAGCGCACACATTATATTCGGATATATCGAAATAAACTTTTCAGATCTACGTCTGCAATTGTTTTTCCTTTTGCGTCATTCCATGTCACGTGTGGGGGTGGGGCCCAAAAATATATCAGTTGTACTCTGAATTCTAATGCAGACATCTGTCTTGTTTTGGATTTTGAACTTCGAAAATATAGTAATCAATAGTACCTTGTACTTTCTAGAGGTTGACACTTAGTACACAATTGTTTCACAAACATATAATAGAATTATCAGTTCTATCCGAAAAGGGGTTCATTAATTTGATTTACATATAATATCAGATAGAGGTGCAGCAAACGAGATAAAGTAAATGGAAGGTCGTAAAAATTAATTTATAGGGCAAACATTTGATCGTAGTCACCCGCATTTTATATACAAATTGTAATAAACTACACAAAATGTCTAAGAAAACAGCCTTAACAGATATAAAAGATCTAGCAACATCAAATATCTCTTTCAAAAGAATTCCCCGACCTTAAGAAATCAACCTGCTTCTGGCTAAATATTTAGCTTAAATTTTCAAGTTCCATAAAGTCTGTTTACAAGCCTCGCGCTTCTGGAAATCCCAATCTTAACGTTATCGCACGTGTTTAAATTTGCACTTCAGTAAAAAGGTTTTTGTGCGGGTCCGCAAAAAAAAAAAATTTTGAGCTGTTTAAGCCTTTCCATTAATTGCCTTGAGAAACCTGGGGCACGGTAATTATTTTACTGAATCTGAATAATTTCGTACACATTGTTATCTTTCGTTGTTGTCATTTAATTTTTCGGTCAGGTGGTTAACCAGACACGACAGAGAGATAATGTGAGAAGAAAATGAGGGAAATGGGCTTCGTATACGTCATTTCCGAAGACTTTGCACAAAAGTGCGCTTCTTTTGTTAGATAACAGATAAGGGATATGTATATAGATACCGTGGTAGTGCCATAATGAAAACTGGTCATGGGTTGTTAAGTGGGTGTGTAAACAGTATGACGACACTTGATAGATTGAGCACTCAATCGGGCTGCTGAACAAGAGAGCAAAATGATTGAAAGAGCATACATACATATATGTAAGTATTATCGTTTGAGTGGAAAATATTTTTAAATTTAAGATTAACCAGCAATGACTCAGTTTAGGCAAACACAGCCATAAAACTGATCTTAAAACCAGTTGAAAATCTATAAAACAAAATACTTTTATTTACATAACAGTCTCTTACCTAACTCGAGTGCCACGCGCTGCTTAAATTCAAACCAGGTTTTTCTACCGGATCGTAAAAGGTCGGTGCGAAAAGCCGTTAAAAGTCCTAGGGGCTTGTCGGCGCATTAAAACCAGGTTCAAGGTCAGCGAAAAACAATTAACCGAATATATGAGAAAATGTGCCACGTTCCCAAAGTCCCAGCAGGAAATGCTAATCACCTTTTCCTAATCACAAGTAATTACCATAAACTGAATATCAAACTCACCATTTTTGTAGTTTCAGTCGCCATGGTTGATCTATTTTATATATAGTCTTGGGATATCTGAAGAATTGGTCGCGCTGTTTCTTTTTTAGCACACCCGCAGAGCGATTATTTCATAATTTCCTCCACCGCGACGACTAACATCTATGTGTTCGATGGCTAGACAACTTTTTATGAATATGTTGCTTAGCGTTCGACGACTAATTTGCGAATGCTACCAAAACCGAAACGATTTTCTTTCGCGTTCTCCCTCTCTCTCTCTATTAAGCCCTGGACAAAAGAAAATATCTGATAAGTTGTCTGTGGGCCGAGTGAGAGAGATAGAGCGCTGTGGCGAGCGGACTTATACTAACGGTTACTCATCGAGAGAGAACGGAGTGGGTACAGTAGACCCTCGAACTTATCACTCGAATACCAATCACTTGGTTGGGTATTTTAAAGGTTATAAATGGGTGTTATGTTGCTAAAAATAATTTAAACGAACGAAATATTTAGACTATTGGTAAAAGAGTTCAGTTAACAACGAAGTTTTATATATCGTTTAGTAGCATCACCTTGATTCAAGAATTCAAGATACTTTATTAATAAATATTAGATTTTTTTATACCACAAAAATGATTTCAAACTTTTTTATTTATTTTACCTTTATTTCCAAAAGAAAATCTAAATCTTTTTAACGGATCTTCGAAGATGCGTTTTTTGTTGATATAGTAAATAAGTTGTTTGCAAGCAAACTAATTTTTTCAGTTTTAAATTGTCTATAAATATGTAGTTACAAAAGTTCATATATGTTGTACTGAAGTCCTACTGTAGATCTGGTGGGAATGTGGTCATTCGTGTTGTTGGGGTTGCCTGCAACGAGTCATGACCTTCCCTCTTACAACTCTCACGTTGACCTTAAACCACTCTTATGGCGTGCAGTATAGTAGTTTTCCCCATTTCCTACTGCTGATGAAAGTCCATTCATGAAAAACGAAATGTGACGTCTCCTGCGGCATTTGTCGTTGCTCGTTTATGGGAGGAATGGCGTAAAGATTTTATTGCTTTACGACTTGTTGACACTTGCCGCCAGATGATGAAAGTTTTTCGTGGAGAACCATCTCCGTAAACACTTTATCTCATGCTTTTTCTTATTATTATTATTCAAAATAAGTTATTAATTAAATCCAATGGTAAAGTTAAATATTCGCAGAACTTCGATCCAACCAAATTTCTCTCGAATTTGAACGTTCCAATTAGAAAGGGGACTAGGGATGTTAAAATTGGGATGCCAAAACAGGGATATGGATGAGAAGTGCCAGAGGGAGATGACTGGAATGCCTGTCTCCCAGTTTAAAGGCCTACTAAAAATGACCTAAAAAGACCTACAGGAGGACCTAAACAGAACATCAACGGCTTTTAAACTCCGATGGCTACTGGCACTGGACTCAGCTGCAGATGGATGCCAGCCGTGCTCCTTTCATCAGCCTTCTTTGAGGAACTGGAAAATATTGAAAAAAAGGAGAGATAACTATTATCGCTATCAAAGCCTAACGAGAATTGGAATAAAATGGGCCCAAATGACTTCGAACGAATCCTAGTTGCGCTAAGTCGCATAAATAAAACAAATTGACATGTAATTTGACATGAGCCAAAGGTTTGGTTCGTGTCTTGGGTTGGCAACTGAAATGTAAGGTTAAGTACTTTCAATGGTCGATAGATGGCGATTTTAAAAATGTTTTGTGTATAATAGGCAAGTCTGCTTATTGATCTCGATCGTTCCTTAATTTATGGAGTTAGCAAAATAATTATAAGTAAAAAACGCCAATTCGAATCAAACACTAACGCTAATTATAATTATAATCTATTTCAAGCTTTTTTAAGTTTAGAAAAACAAAACAAGGTAATTTTTATTTTGGTGTTAGCTAAATATAAATATTGCGACATTAAAATCATAAAAAAAATTATGTTTTGTTGATTACAAAAAACTGACAATTCGGCGATTTTTAAATGAAAGTTGGAGAACACAACATTCGTTAACATTAATAATTTTACTTTTTTTCTTCTTGACTCGAATATTTGTATTCACGTCCCAATTAAAGGTCATGCAAAGAAAACAAAACGGAAGTAACTCATATAATTGATACTCTGCCATGATACGACTTTGTGTTCCATAACTATTTGACTACATATAAAAAAACATCCTCGAATTGGTAATCAACGGCAACTCCCCCACCAATAATTGCCATCGGAAACGGCTCTACAAATTGTGAAAATTTCATTAACAGGCCATATTAAATTTCATGGCAGGGAGAACAGAGCGGAAGTAAATTTCATTATTTTGATTTCAACGAGATCAATCTTCTGCCAAGTCATCATGGTCATTATGAGTGTGATCATGATGAGCAAGCTGGCATCGGATCAGCGCAGCCGCAGCGACCGTTAACACCCATTGCAGTTTTTCATGCAGTTGTTAGAGGAAGAGGAAACTTCCCGTTAACGTAAACCCCAAATCGCAACCCTATAACTACCAAACCATACTAATAGTGTATACCAAACTATACTCACGCTGCAGTTGCTCGGCGGGCTGTCAGACGATGATGATTGCGACGATGCTGCAGCATTGTGTGTGTTTTTTGTTGTATTTTTTGTGCCCCCTTCGACGATTTCGGGCAAGGATAACGAACTCCAGAGTCCGGATCGAAAACCCTCTCTCTACGTCTACCCTTTTCACGGCATTGAATTTCCCCCTTTCATTTTTTAGGCCGTCTCGCATTTGTTTTTGTTTTGTCCTCGGCGAGATTTTTTTTACCAGCGGGTTGAACGATTTTTTTTTTGCGCAGCTGCTTTGGGTTTTACGGTTTTGTGAATCGCTGTAAGTTGATGGGCACTTGATGGGAAACCACTCCAGTTTCGACTCCGTTTGGAGTGTAGGTGTTAGAGATCAATATGTTGGAAAACTTTTCTGCGGGTTTGCCCAGAAATTAGCTTTCTGCCATTACACATAGGGCCAAGAAAATGCGGAAACCCAGAAGGGGTTTCAGTTTGCTCAACGTCTATTTCTGCTCATCCCCCTTTTTTATTAGGAAACAAAACAAAGACCAAGGGAAGTGTTCAAAAAACCGTAAGTAATTGTCGGGATATGCGTGCAAATATTTTCTATTTTTGCCCAAAAAACCCTAACCATTTTATTTTTACAGTTTTCTCTAGCCCTCCCCTCGTTTGCAATTAAAAAAGCAAAAAAAAAACTATTGAAAAAAGAGAGCTATTTGGGTTCGGGTTCACTGTGCAAAAAGGCTAGATGAGGAGCGTGATTGTGCAATGATCGGGAAAAAGAAATCTGAACTTAATGCACTCTCCTCGGGGAGATAGAAAAATTGTTTGATTGAGTGACAGTCCATGTGGAGCAGATGATATACCATACCATAGGTATTTCTAGGATCTTGAGAAGTCCATGCAAATTAGGGGTTGTTCTGCTCCCAATTCATTTGTCCCTCCTTCGGAGTCTCAAATTAGTTGCGCATCTTGCGTACATTTGTCAGGGTCGTCTAACGTCTTTTTACCTTTTTTTTTACGGTTGACAAAAGAAGGGACGAAATCCTGTAAAAAAATCTTCGTTTTTTCCTTTTAACAAGGCGCCTTGCCGTGGGGAGGAAGATCTTTTTGTTACCTGGCCCCTGACATTTTCCCATATTCCTTACAGTTCATTCACCTCACAGGGCAGGGATCATCATAATGGGATAGGTTGCATCAGTTGCAGCATCAGCAGCGAAGATTAGTATTCATTCTTTCGGCTCACGGAAGATATGTTTTAAAATATCACAAAAAGGGTTAGTTTGTAAACTGTTCAAAATAATTCCACATGGAACAGACACTGAATTAATTCGTTTTGGAATAACGTGATTATCTTTAGTCAGCTGCGATTATTATCCTTTTTGGTTAACGTGATCTTTACTAAAGGATTTACAAATATGTTTTATCTTAAAATGCAACTTATTAAAAAATTTATCTTTGAAAGAGATTTAAAAAGATTTTTAAATCCATTTTTAAAATAAATCAAAAATATCTCTGTTTTTATAATACAATTTAACCTTTTTTAAACGATTTTTGGTGGAAACAACACTTAGAACACTGCAAATAAAATACTTAGTAATTTTTTGTTTATTGAAATTTTTGATCTGTAATAAAAACCTATTAGCTTTTACTTATCTTTATAAATTCATGTTTATTTAAACATGGGTTATTATTCGAAAGCGTTATTCAATTCTCTCTTCCTTTTAAATAAATGCTAATACTTAAAAAAAACATCTAAAACTGATTTATTTATCAGCTATTTAATGCGGAAAAAATAGTTGTATATATTTCATTTTAGAAGTTATTGAAACTAATTCCATTTGCTCAGGAACCTCTCACGTAAGTTGCAAAAAATTGTTATTCAAGCTCTTTTTAATAATGCAAATGAACAAAACATGTACAAAAAAAAAAAAGAATTTGACAGACAGGCAAATAGGGAATGAGGACCATAATACGACCAAATGTCCTTTGAGAAAGGAAGCGGGAAGATCGAGGAATCAGCAATAAACCAAGGCAACCAAAAAAGCGCGCCAAACGAAGATTCTAAAAAACTGTTCGAAACAATGAGAGGATCGGAAATCGGAGTTGGCTGTCTGGGATTATTGGGCAAGGCCAACGTCATGATGACGCAAACGCAGATCATGAAGATTGGGATAATGATTATGTGCGACTGTGTTTGCACAATTTGCAGGCTCACACACACCGGCACACACAATCGCAATCGAAATCAAACAATAGGGAGAGGCAAAGGCAACCCGTTTTTTAAGGGTTCCCAAAACAGCCCGTCAAGGGGATGAACATCATCCTCATCCTCCTAACTCCTATGTCCTTCCCAAGCCAAATTACGTTTCACCCCTTTGTAAAACTCTAAAAAAAAAGAGGCGAGAGCGATCGCTTCAAACTTTTTTCGCAGCCGCCGCTGCGGAAATTTTAAAAAATTCTTTTCGGCGCATTCGGATGGGGAATTAGTCGTGGAAAGTGCGTGGCCGGATAAGCAACACTGCTCCGAGGAGTACAATTAAATTTTCTTTAAGACTCTTCGAATTCCTTATAATTTGTTGAGTAAGAACACTGATGTTAAGTGAACTAAAAAACAAATATTGTATTTTCTTAAAATTCTTACAACTTTGTCTAAATTTAATAAAATAACAACA